AATTTAAAACTTTAGTACCTGTATAAATTTGTAGTTTTGCTTGTTAGAAATGGTTTCAAGATTCTTCAAGCTTGCACAGTAATCCAGCTTAAGAGAAGACAGTATCGTTGGTGGGAGGCAACATAAAAAGTGGTGCTAGCTTTTTCTACACATTAACGAGGACAGAAGTTAATTATTGTAACACAAGAACACTCAAAACTGTGCCTGCTCTGAGTTTTTATACATTTTAAGCTTCTGACATCTTTCAAGTAGAAAACAAGCAATGTGGATAAATTTTCAAACTACAAAAATGAAATAAAAATTCAAAACCAAACCTCTAAAATACATTTCTGCCCCACCGTGCTTCCAGATACTGGTGGCTAGAAAAATGCATCATTCTTCACAGAGAAGGAATTAATGATTAAAACTATAATTGCTTAACACATAATTCATTTCACTTGTTCCTGAGTTAACTGCTGATAAATGAGTGCACACATGGGCAAAGAGTAATGGTCAATCACTCAATTTTTCTGTCCATTGCAGTAAGATGATGCAAAGATTCCTAAAAGAAGTTATTCTGTGACCATATATCTTTGCTATTGAGCTCTACAAAACCAAGGTATCTATTTGTGTCCTTTCATTACATTAAAAAATCCAGTAATCACCAATTTTTGCCGTCAGAGTTTTCAGGAAGGCTTCAATTACTGCAAAAAAACTAAAACTAAATTTGCTTCCTAAATTAAAAATACATAATTTTATGGAGGTGGCAGTTATAAAACTAAATCCTTAAATAATGAATGCAATAATGAATATACCTTGACACCAAAAAAAGATTCACAATCATATTACACTAAATATTGACTTCAGAAAATGTAATATTTTTTTTGTAAAAGTTCCGTGCTCAACACTTGACTATATGAACTAGAAGAGAAAATCAAAGTTTCTGAATGTTTTATATGACATTAAATGTGTAAGCAAGTGACTATGCAGAGCCTAAAGTTGTTATAATGACTACAGTTATCAGGATACTGTAGAATAGAATACTACAGTTATCAGGATTCTAGAACTTTTATAAAAGTAATTAAATAGAAATATAACTTCATTGTGTGAAGATTACATTTTCACAAAACTCACCTTGTCTAGATTTATGATCATATAGTTTGGATAATCTTCTACTAAAGATACAATCACATGTGATGCACTATAAGAAAAAAGTGTTATCTTGTGAGTGAAATACATTGTTAAATTTACAAATTTTTTTCTCAAACTGTTGAGTTTTGGGAAAATATTCAAACATAACTTTAAGTTTTCCCAAAGTAATACAAAGAATATAAATGTATGCACATGCAGGTTTTTCATTAAGACTTTTCAACACTATCTATAAACTAACTCTTACACTCCTTTTACAGAAAGTTTACTGGCTTTGAGGACAAAGAAAAAATTAGTTTAACCAAAAGATGCTGCCCACGCATGTCTGGAGTGTGTGGGTAAAGCAGGATGATAAGAGGTGTTAAACAACTGCGCTGACTCTATAATATGCCCTTTCAGAACTGCAGATATAAGTATGAGAAAATTCAATTAGTGTATACAAAATTCATTTAGTATGAGCACAATCATTTACAATGTTTATAAAACTTTACACAACTGCTGCCTCATGGTATGTGACGCTGGCAGCATATACCAGAACCTTACAGGAATCCTGGACTGACTCCAGCTTTCCAAGGCAAATACTAGCTGACACCATCCAGAATCGGGTATCTAGAGTAATTCCCTGGCTTTAGAAGACCTCAATGTGGACCCAGAGGCAAATCTCACCCGCATCATACAACGCTGGGTGCGTAGTTCTCCATGGCCCCTGCCCCGCTGGACCAGCACTCTCACAGTAGTACGACCCTTTCCTATCCCTACTCCTTTGCTTAGGAAACTTGCCTGCCTGATACCTTCAGCCAAGTGACTGTCCAATCAGAGATGACTTAATGTACTAATGAGTGATAAACAAAAGTTCCCACATTCTCTCTCTCTCTCTCTCTTTTTTTTTTTCAGAACCAGGGATTGAACTCAGGCCCTTGCACTTGCCAGGCAAGCACTTATTCAACTGAGCCATCTCCCCGGCCCACATTCACTCTTCTTTTACTAGACATTCAATTCTTCACAGGCAATAGAGCCTCCCCTTTAAATTCCTCCTACAGCCATCCATTCAACACTTCTGGGTACTTAGTGATCAGTCCTTGCAGCCTTCACGGAGCTAACATTCTAGAATGGGGACAGAGGCAGCAAATAAGTTAGCACAGATAGGCAGTACAGTTTCAGGTAGAGATAGGTGTGTGGGTTGGTAAGGACCTTCAAGAGTGTGTTACCTGACTGAATGACGTGGGGCAAACAGCTAAGTAAAAGAACAAGGGCAAAAACCTCAAGACAAAAGGGGCCCTAGCCTAAGGGGTTCTAAAAATCATGAGTAAGAGCAGCAGGTATAGAGCAGCAAAAGATTAGGTTGAAAAAGTACAGCTTGGACCCTTGAGTCTTGTAGAAATGGAAGAGTTTCAACTTTATTCTGACAAAAACCACCAGAATATAAAGTTCCATGCACTAACAGATGTGTTTTACTTCAAAGACACACACACACACACACACACACACACACACACACACACACTGATTTCTACAAGAGAAACAGACTTAAAAGGCAACAAGAGTAGAAGCAGAAAGACCAACCAGGCAGCTCCAAGAAGGCGGTGTCTAGGGCTTAGGTAGAGGAGGGTGCAGAGACGTGGTCGCATTAATAAGCATTTACTTGGGAAGCAGAAAGCACTTGCTGATCAAAGGAGGTATGAGAGACAGGCGATACACATACAGGCTGGCAACAACAGGCCTTCTGCGTCCGCTGCGCAAATCAATCTTACCATAATCCCCAGGGCGTTTTGGGGGCGCCTGTGCATCACGATGGTGGGGAACGGACGCTGGCCAAAGACTTACGGTCAACTGTGCCCCTCCCCTGAGTGTTAAGGAGTGACATGTGGGGCAGTCAGCAAGTCGGGGGGCAGTACCACAGTCCTGGCTTTGAGAAGCAGGCGACTGAAAGCTAAGGACACGTCTTGGCAGGCCAGGGAGAGAGGAAAAAGGGATGGCCCGGGTGGCTCCGTAGGACCCGCCCAGAGGACCCCCCCCCGCCCCGCAAAGCCGACCCACACTGCTAAGGCAAACTGAGCCTAGGAAGTTTGGGGTTTCTGGGGAAAACTGCTCGGCCAGCAGCGGCGTTACCTACATGAAACCGGCACCCCCGGTCACCAGGACCCGCTTCGCAAAGCTGCCACGGAGGACTAGGGGCTCCGCCCAGCCAGCCGCCGACATCTCCCAGCTCAGCAGTCTACCTAGGACCGTAAAGCGCCGCGCCTGAAGACCGGAGGGAAGCACACTACGACAATTTTGCGACACGCCTCGCTCCCTCAAAGCGTTCTGCGTGTCCCCTGCGGCGTCTGGAGTAGGCTCCCACGCCCATTGCCCCGCCCATCGGTGGGCGGGGCGTTGGCCCCCGCCGTGGGATGAGGTTCCTCGGCGTGTTTTCTAAGCTTGCGTCAGCAGCCCGAATGAAGCTTTATTTAGATACGCAGAAATTCAAGGTTTTGAATGAGTGATGAGTGCTTTCTTTCATTCTTCTAGGGTTTTTCCAGCGTTTACACACCAGTTCAGCTAAGAACTCTGAGGACTTGTATTCTTGCGCCGTGGGAATGGGAGTTGTAATGGAAAGATTACCTTGTATATGTAATAGTATTACAGACAGCAAAACGCACTTGCAGTCTTGATAAGGGTCTTCCTTAGATCCAACCCTTAGATCTTATCCGATTATGCTCCCATTTATTCACTGTCACAGTCTCCAGGTAAGCTTTACCCTGTCTTGAAAAGCCCAGGCAGGATTCTTTGCTGGCCCGGAAGCCTTTTCTTCTGATGTCTACCTAGTGTTTACCCTAATTCTTCAATTCTTAGCCTCAGTGTCTTCCTCCTATCGATGTCTTTCCTTGACCACCCCAATTGAAATAGCAAGTTCTACTCTATCCCTGCAGAACCATCTTACCCTTCTTTATTTTTCCTTATAGTGCTCATCAGCATTCACGTAAGTGATACAATTGTCCACTGACTCTACTCCTTGGTGGGGGAGGGTGTCCTGATTTATTTTATTTTTATTTCCGAGTTTCAGGCCTGATGCTTGGCACAGGATAAATGATCAGTAAATGTTATTAACCTGATAAATACCTTTCTGCCTCATATCATGTTTTAAGCCTAAAAAGAATGGAAATACTCAATATATGTAGGACTATCATATGTTAAGAATCTTTTGAGGGCAAAGTGGTATCATAATAAAAATTCAACTACTCTATGACACCTAAATTCCATGATGTCTTAAATAGGTAATTGTCCATTGCTGTATTATTTAATAAGAAAAAATTGTACACAATCTAAATGTACATGAGATTGTCTGACTTGTAAAATCCGATGGACTTATATAGTTTTTTAAAAAGTGTACTGCCGTGGAAAGAAAGCCAAAATATTTGGAATGGATACTCATAGCTTTTTTTTAATTTATTTATTTATGTGTATGTGTGTGTGTGGCCAGCTCAGCCCACCAGGGGGTGGGGCTGGCTGGCATGTTGTGCTGGGGGATTGAACCACAGTCCCTGTGCTTTACGGAGCTTGTTCTAAGTAGGTGCTTTAGACCACTGAGCCATCTCACCAGCCCTGATACTCATAGCTTTTTAAAAACTTGAATTGCCTATTCTTTGTAATCAAGACAGTTGGTTCATGCTAGGCTGACTACAGGATGGGTGTTTGACTTATTCTAGGCCAATTAAAGCCTTTTTTTTGACACTTGAAATTATACTAAGGCTCCAGTACAGTCTGTTTCCTCTTCTTGAACTCTGAAGATGTACTCATTTAGTACTTCTGAGTGGCAATGTTCTTTCACATGAACTGAGGAACAACCCAAGAGCCTTCTTCAGAGACAGAAAAACAAAGCTGGTCAAGAGGAGAACGACAAGAGAGAAGGCCTCATGACATTCAAGGCCCATGCATATTCTGCTTTTCCTGCAAAATGAATTTTATTCCTGTCCTTGGCTTGCAAAAAGCACAATAAAAAGGTAAAAAGAAACTTTAGACAAATTAATTTGATCCAGGTTTATTTCTGCAAAGAAGAATTTAAAAATTAAGCAGCATTAAAAACAGAAAGGTTCAGAGATGCTGCCTCAGGAACATGTGCAGACAGTATTTATACAAAAAAGAAAAAAAAAAAGAAATAACATCTAGAAACAGCCTGCTTGGTCACTGCTTCAAATCTGTCTTATATAGACCTGATCTGACTATGTATCAGACACATATGCAGAGTCTTATTGGAGTGACAGCCTATGATTGGCTGAAATTCACATACTATGACTGGCTGAAACTGTTACTTGTTAGAGGAATATACTCCTAGTTAAAGACTACAGAGTGTTTATACACTAAATTAGGTTGCAGTGCCTCGGAATTCAACTACTGGCAGAAACCTGAGGCCAAACTTAGTTTAACACTACATGTGTTAGAAAGGCTTGCTGTCTGAAGAGGTACACTTGAAACTATTCATGAGGGTGGCTGCACCTGAAACTACTAATGAGGGTTACTTTGGGGTATTAGATATGCGCAAGGAAAAGAGAAACAGGGACTTTTTCAACTTTATACACTTTTGGATGAATTTTTCTCTAAGCTGCATTAATTAATTTTGTAGGTTTGTATGTTTTTGTTTTTTTTGAGACAGGGTCTTGTTAGTATACATCACAGGCTGGCCCCTAATTGATGGTAATCCTCCAGGCGCAGCCTCAAAAGTGCTCGGATTACAGGCATTCAGCATGCCCCGTTTAGTGAAATATTTTAAAATTCCCCAGTGTTTACACTTTTAGTTTAATCCTGTTCAAAGATAGTGAAAAGCACTGCAGTATGTCTAGAGAACTATAATCATAAAAGCTTGTGCAGTGAAAATAATTGATGCATATTATGCAGGAAATAATTGAGTCCAACTTTCATTTACACAGACATCGTTTCTGATCAGCTGGCCCTTACAATGTAGTGAAGGATTCAGATAATCGAGTCATTTACAATATAGCTAGCAAGCTGAGGTCCCTGATACGGAAGTTCTGGTTCTAGGGGCATCTATTACAGACTTGGAAGTTTGAGAAAGGCTTCTTAAAGTGGGCTGTGAAAGAGGGAATATCATTGAAAAAAGAAGGTGATGTTGATGTTGATGGTAGGATAAGCAGAGCTATTTCAGATAGAGCATTTCAAGTGCTACAGGCCTAGAGACTTGGTGTATTTATGGAACCATGGATATACCAAGGTAAGAATGAAATTAGAAGTTGAAAGATGAAAATTAGAAAGGTTAGAGAGCTATAATGGAAAGAGTTTGGCTGGTTCACTAACGGCAGTAGTGCGCCTTTGAAGGAAAGCAGTGTAACCGCTAATTAGAATTAAGACTGGAGGGCAGTCAAGTTGCCATAGGCCAACTACGTGATGGCCTGCTTGGGTTGTTGCTGCTGTTTCCTGCTATCACCTGACGAACCAATAAGCTTTTGTAACTTGTTGGCTATAAGGGCCTTCCTTCCAAGGATGGACCCTACCTGCATCTCCTGGCGGTCTGGTCTGAGTGATGATCTAGTTCAGAGAGAATGGGAACTGAGGATGGACAAATCGGAGACAAGAAAAGCCATGTTTTAAATTTTTGGGGCCAGGGAGATGGCTCAGTGGAATTTGCGCTTC